GTAAGTTTGTGCCCTTGACTTTCAAATAGTAAGTAAGTATATTCATTCACAAAAACAGAATGATGGAACACAAAGAGGAAACGACAGATCAATAAATCTGATGCTTGATCGTAATTCTTAATGTCCAATAAAGTTCAGGAAAACAACAATAAAGAATTTGATGAATTTGATACAAACCGACAGATTAACTGCTTTCGGTGCTTACACTTTAACCACAATTTCAACTGTTGTCAATTCTTATATTGGGCACCGACTGACACATCTGGGACTGTAAAGAGTCACCAAATGCCAACCCGTGATAACAGTGTGGTTATGGCGTAGTAGTACATCCCCTAGCTCAGAGGCAATTTATAACATAACACCACTTTAAGAGCATCGCATTTCCCCTCCTAAGGGCTCATTCTAATGTTACGAAAACACACCAGTCCTTCAGGTGATTATACACTGAAACATAGCTATGAATAATATATTCAATTTTTGCTCATGGGCCCCACAAACCCTACCCACTAAAGTAACTAGCCCTTTAAAGCTTTGATCATGTTTTAATCGTAAAACATTTTGTAACTTTGTTTTTGAAAGGTTATATAGAAAACAAATTATGATGGCACTCACATACAGACATTCCAAGAATAACCCTCATTGCACCTCCAATTTTCAGCATACGCAAGAGCTTTTTGCTAGATTTTCTAAAAAATAACTTTCTTGGACCAAAGGTTCGATTTCTGTCTTGCTTCTTGTGATTCCCAGTGCAAACAAAATCTGCCATAGACAAAGGTTTGAATTTCAGAGCCGACAAGGGGCCCTGCGAAGGAAAACTCTGTCTCTGTGCAATCAGCAAATGGCATTAAGTTTCTCCTCAGTGTAGTTTGTTCTTTTCTAGGACTACATTTCAAACGTTTTTTTTTTTGGCAGCAGATGTTCCTATCCGCCCGCCCATCGTCAGGGGTGCCTGAACGCCATCAGGACCCTGCTGGCCACCAGACGAAAACATGCCCAGAATGCATCATGTGGGGGCCGTTCAGTCCCATTTAACTGTTCCTCCCGTCTGCCACTTCCCTTTACCATCAGCTTGTGTCTTCCTTACTCTCCATCTCCAGAGCACACAGAACAAAGCATCCAGTGAGCTCTTTTCTAGTTTGCTCTGACAAACCAACTTAGTGCAAGATGAGTCTTGACCGTGGATGGCTCTGTGAGAATTGAGTGAGAGGCAGTGGCAGACGAAGGTGTGGGCACATGAATAAATCGATTAGTGGGGCACTTGACGGATGGGATTTATAGAAGGCATGGACGCACCAAAGAATTAATTTCGCTTGGAGAACATTCCTCTGCCAGGTTCATTCATCTTGGCAGCAAATTTGGCACTTCCCCCAAGTCTGGAGGCTCAATTAACCAACGGCTCCAGCAGTTAGGGGAGGGAACAGCTTTGTTGAGAAATACGCCACAATCATGTGTCAGACACATGTGTTAATGATAACAGATTTCAGGAATACAAAATGAGAGTCTGAGGTAGTATGAGGTTAGCACGGGTAATGGTGGGAGGAGTCGACTTATTGTGGAATAAGGGGACAATAAGGTTGGTAAAGAAAAGGTAAAAGGAACTTGAATGCAGCTTTAAGCAGTGTTATCTGATTGTTTTGGCATCATACTGTAAACAGAACTTCAGCCTTTTAACACTAGAACCGCCAACGGGTACATTTTACCCGCAGCTGTTTCTTGATTGTATGTAACTTTTTTTCAATAAAATATTCAAGTCTCCCAGTCCGTGACTTTTCCTGAAAGTGTGTTATGTAGCACCCTCTGTTGTTAAAAATGGTCAACATGAAGTTAAATTGAAAAAATTGCCAAATAAATGGCCATGTATAAGCGCTAGCGGGTAAAATGTAGGCTACCTTATAGAAAATGCAGTGATTTTCGCACTACTGATTTTGCGCGTAAACATAAACATGACGTGTTGATAGATAGAGAGATAGATAGATATGGATAGATGGATAGAGAGAGAGATATATATATATAGAGAGAGAGATATAGATAGATAGATAGATAGGTCGATAGATAGATAGTTATAGATAGATAGAGAGACACTTTGCACATTTCTCACGGTAGCGATATTTTATACTTCATGCTATCTGCACAAAGCACTAGATAGCATATGAAAGCTGAGAGTCCACAGATTATATTGGTATAAATGTCATCACTGTGCGATCAAAACTCACTGTCAACCCTGTGTTCTAATATGATAAATAAAAGAACATTGTACCTTGAAAATCAATGCATTCTAATAGCGGGTACATTTGACCCGTTGGCGGTTTTACGTATACAGTGACCCCTGGCGGTTCTAGTGTTAAACATATTATTGGAATATAAAGTTCACAATGTCATCTAGATACATACATGCCCCTTAAAGGTCACCTATTATGCAAAATCCACTTTCTCATGTGTTTTATACATAATTATGTGTGTGTCCCTGCGTTAAGAGATTCTGAAAGTTTCAGGACAAAATAATCCGCCTCTTTTGGTCCTGATCCATCTATATAAAAATCTGTCTGAAAATAAGCTGATCAGATTTTGGCCACTTAGTGATGTCACAATGTTTTTGGGGCTGTGCAACCATTAGCCACTAACCAACCAATGAAACACCATTTTATCACCTGAATCTCCTCCTAGAGCACCATTGTGGTTTTTAAAACCAAACACCTCGTAGAGGGGCGTGGCCAGCAGCAGCTCATTAGCATTTAAAGCTACAGAATCAGCACTTTTTAAACAGGGCTGAAACAAAGAGATATATGGCATGCTAGAATGCACGATCTGTTTGGTTTTTCGAGCCAAACACTTCAGAGACATGGTTTGAATATATATGAGACCTATTATATATTGTTGTAAAAGAGTATAATAGGGGACTTTAATTAGCTTCCCTTTTGTCTTGCCAAAGGATGCAAGAGACAAACTGACTTTAGGTTAGGGTTGGCTTGTTTAAATTAGCTATATAGATTTGGATTATATTTATAAATGGTTTGCCACCATTTTGACAGTGGTTAGTTGATACTGCTGTACCTCAGTTTAAAAAGGGATATATTACAGCAGTCAGAAATACAAAAATATTGATTAGTCACTTTAAAGACTGCTTAACGAAACCAATTTAACAAAATTGCTGCTTTAAAGTGTATTATTCCTTGAACTGGTTTAGACATACCTACACCGATACGGGTTGCTAAAACAGAGTTGCTTTTTATTGAAGCGTTGCTATTCTGTGTCTCCCTTCCACTATCAGCTTCCGGTCCCTCATCCTGAACATCTCAGCGGATGATTTATGTAGCAGTGTTGCTCTGTGACCTCAGAATCCGCCCCATCCATACCGCACCTGTCACTGCGCCACTGCCTGCGTGCTTACTGAAAACCGAGCCATCCGTGCAAAATGGCAATTTTCCACCCACCTAGAGAAAGGGAGAAAAAACAAGGATCCAATCCATTTAGAAGCAAAAGTAGGAAAATTCTATGATATGTAGAGCAGGTGCGCGAGGGCTCGCTGCTCCGCTAACGAGGGAGCTGAACTGCACGCACCGCTGACCACAACATCTGTCGTTTGTAGGGATGCAGAGTTTGGTTTGTACCTCTGCAACACAGTTTGCACAGCGAGAGACAGGCGATGATAGAGCGCCAAAGATGGACACATATGGAAGGGACCGGGGCCCGTTTTCAGCTGGGGGCACAGAGGTCCCATGCAGGGGCCCGGTAGCATATGATGCATGAGGATCCAGCGGGGATAGCAAAGAGTTATACTTGTCTGGTTTGGCCCAAGGTGAGGCCAGACTGACCCAGTTTATCCCAGGTGGAAACCCTAACGAGCTCATCAGGCCTAACGAAGCTAAACGGGATTCTAATTGGCTGCGGTATGATGTCCCGAAGGTCAGAGTGCAGGTACATGTGCCAAGCTGCCACTTCCTGCCAACAGCAGGTCACATGACCAAACTAAAGTCCCTCCGTGTAAACAAAGTAGTGAAAGGACAATAGGAACTTCTTGCATTAGCTAAGCCAGAGTTTGTTATGCTCAGAGGTGAGATGAAACTACCTTTTTACTCAGGACAGATGTGGAAGAAGTACTCTGATTTCCTAAAACCAACCAAAGAAGTAAAAGTAGAAATGTTTAATTGACGACAAATATCCGGTTACAAAAAACTCCAGCATTGAAAATCTTTAGTGTAAAAAAATTAATATTTTGCATCAAAATAGACCAACATTACAAGAAGTAATATGTTATGGGCAATGGTTCATTTTTGAGACAAATACATTATATTACTGGATTATTCATTTGTTACAAAGTGTCTATCAAAGCTGGTAAATTCTGAGCCTCTTTACTTTGTATGCTGTTGCTGGACATTTCAACCTATCAATATAAAAACAATGTTGTCAATGTTTATTTATGTGATGTATTAGCAAAATAATCTGAGTCCATAAAGGAATTGTAAAGGTGTCAAATAAATGTAGTAAAGGTCAAATATAAGTAGTTCAATCATAGATGTGAGGTTAAGTAAAGGTACCTCAAATGTTTACTTGTGTACAATACTTCTGTAACAATCTTAATGTTGGAAAGTTGTAGGCTCTATTCAGATTTTAAACTGGCTCCACATTGACAAGCTACATTGTATTTGTTTGTGATTGAAACTAAGTTATATTCTGTATTAATGTATGTGTTACAATAGCCATTCTGCCAAATGGGTTACTAACACTTGATAATAGTTCTGTACAATCCGAACGGCTGCTCTGTTTATTCAAGACTACACACTGGTGTGGTGATCTGCTGCCACCTCCCGGTCACCATGCAGCGGTACAGCTTGGTGAACAGAATTGTCGAAAAAACAAAACCTGTCCAGTAAATTCTACATAAACATAATTAAAGTATCTTTTGAAATGACAAATACAGAATTATTTGGAACAAGCTCCACATCCACACTCATCTCATCAACCAACACATTCTACCCTAAATAAAACACACCACACATCAGTTTTTGCAAACAATCTGTGATATGTACATGGAGGATTGTTTATTTCTCAATGACGGAATGAAACAACATGTAGGATTCAAATGTACTGACAATCAAAGAATGAATAGCTATTCATATTTGCAGTACATGAGTACAGACCTGTCAGGTCTTTCAAGGTTTATAATTAAAAGAACAAACCTTAATAGACTGCCAACATGAGTAAAAGTCTGGGGAAAGCACCAGAATGACAGACAGTTGTGCAGTATTCCACAAAGGCGGTTAAACCCAAATAAAAAGTCAAAGGCAACAGTATGATCCTTAGAATATCTATCAAAGGAAAACAATAAAATATAAATGGTAAAAACCCACGTATCTCCTCTATAAGAATAAAGATACTCATTGTTTTTTTTTTAAAGTAATGTACAAGACGAGAGCAGGCGGTAGCGTTACTCCGTTCCACACAGGACGGTGAGGCGATTCTGTCAAGAGGGGAAATAAACAATGATGAGAATCAAAAGCATGTGCATCCACTTCTCCCCTCATACATTGAATGTTGAGGTGAAATTACACAAGGGATGAATATACCTTCAGCTGACGAATGCTCCTCAGAGCAGTTTCATCCAGCAGAGACAGATCCACAGAGTCCATCTGGCTGGCCAATAGCTGAACACTCTGCAGAGACACATCACATTACAGATCAGAAGTCATATATACAAAGAAAAACATTGGGTTGTACGATTTGGAACAAATAACTGATTATGATTATTTAGTGGGAATGCTGACACAGCATTCCCACTAACTGTTCTTCTACGCACGAAATTTGTATTATTATTCCGCCGACTTATTTTGGCCCTCTTCTTCTCCCGCATTGAACATCGCAGAAACTCCGTTCAAACATCAAAACGTTCAGCTCGGTCGGGAATCGATGGCTATTACTTTTCTCATTCATAACCTTCATAATTCCAGAGATACATCCCATAATACATCACATTTTTAACATTGAAGTCAATGGAGAAATTCTTCAAACTTCAACAAATCTTCATGCGACTTCAACTGCTAACTGTTCATTCATACTTTCACTCAGAAACCTCATTCTAACTTTAAAATGTTACAAATCTTTCTGACATTATTCGTGTTAAACAACTTTTAAATCTGATTCTTACTTTTACAGATATTAACATTTGTTCAGACCTTGTTTTAGAGGTTTTCTTCACATTTTAACATTAACTAGAGTGCGTGATGTCACAGCTAGAGGGTAAGAAATCTTGAAATGTGCCTTCATATATTTTTTTAAAACTGCCATAATTCCCAAACCCTACATTCCTGAGACATAATTGTTCATGATAAACGTAGGAAAACATCTTGTAACTTGAAAAATTAAGCAAAAATAATTCAACAAAATGCCTCTTGAGGGCATGAAGTGACAAAAACGTTCAACATTCCTCCATTGAAGCCCATTGTAATTTCAGGCAGATATTTCCTCACGGTAGCAGCCACACACCTTTAGTTAAACTGCCAAAAAGGCCACATTATTAACCCGAAAGTACACAAAAATTACACTTCAGATACTCAACTTCCTTGACATGCTTCACGTTTTGAAATTTCACAGATATCTGTTACGGTTCTTCCACAAAACGTTCACATGTAAGAGGTTCATCTCTCATTCAGAACAAAAGGCGCATTCACACCGCAGTACTTTTCCCACAAAGGTTCATGAGAACTTAGTTCATGAGAACTCTTTTGTCGCGTTCACACCAAAAAGAGCCGGTACTAAAATTAGTTCATGAGAACCTTTTTACCCCCACGAAAGTCCCTGCTAGAGAGCAGGGACTTTCGTGCGGCTCTCTTGTGAGAAAAGAGCTATATTTCTGATTGGCTGGGCGGATTGCAAACCACGCCCCGTAAAACTCCCAAAAAGTTTTGTGAAGCCGCCATTTTATTATCCTCTCATTAGTATTATTAGCATTAGCATTGGCCCAGCGCAGAAACGCAGAGAGACTAACTTATGGCAACACAAAATAAAACATGGGAGCGGTGGAGATGAGGAGGTGTCGGCGTTCTGGCGATTTACTCGGAAGGCTTCAGTAGAAGCTGCTGGGACTCCCAGCAGCTTCTACTGAAGCCTTCCCCAACTCCGGGGACTTTGGGCGGCAGTATACGCCATGAAGTGGTTTGCGGCCTGCCAGTAAACCCAAAGCAGAAGAAGAAGAAGTGACGTCAGTGGCTTCATTTGCCTAATCCACCCCCAGGGACTTATTCCGGTGTGAACGCGATCTGTACTTAGTTCATGAGAACTAAAGAGTTCTCATGAACTAAGTTCTCATGAACCTTTGTGGGAAAAGTACTGCGGTGTGAATGCGCCTAATGAAGCCTTTGAAGTCTAGGCACCTCATTAGCTCAACTATAAACACCTGTGCAATGGAACACGATGATGTCATCACTCCAACTGACATGCTCAGAGCAGCAGACTTCAACAGTCCAGCCGTGAAGACATCTTTGGGACAGTTTTGAGATTTCTTCAAATGCCGTTGTCATGGCAACACAATGCTCGCCTTGAAACATGGTTTTCTCATAACTTCAGTGAAAATACTCCAAACAGCCCAGAACTTCACAGGTTTGATAACGATGCAGCCATCAATGCATCTAAGCGTAGTATGGAGTGTCATGAAATGCCGTTGCCATGGCGACAGACCACTCGCCATGAAACATGATGTGGCTGTAAGTCCAATGGACACGGTCCAATCGTCCCCCAATCTTCACTTGTATATCACCGGTCCATGCCTCAACAGCTCTACGCCAAATCTGAGATCTCACCATATGCCGTTTCCATGGAAACGCATCCCTCGCCATAAAACATGATGTCGTTATAGGTCCAATAGACACGGTCCAATCGTCCCCCAATCTTCACTTGTATATCACCGGTCCATGCCTCAACAGCTCTACGCCAAATCTGAAATCTCACCATATGCCGTTTCCATGGAAACACATCCTCGCCATAAAACATGATGTCGCTATAACTCCTATGAAAATGTTCAAAAAGTGCTCTCAAGTGTGCTAACAGTCCAGCCTTGAAGACATTTACGGGACAGTTTTGAGATTTCTTCAAATGACGTTGCCATGGCAACACAATGCTCGCCTTGAAACACAGTTTTCTCATAACTTCAGTGAAAATACTCCAAACAGCCCAAAACTTCACAGGTTTGGTAACGATGCAGCCATCAACGCATCTAAGTGTATTATGGGATGTCATCAAATGCCGTTGCCATGGCGACAGATCATTCGCCATCAAGTTAGTTCAGACATTTGCAGTTCAAATATTCTGCTGCTTTTCCAAGCCTTTTTACTTTCTTTTCTTCTCTCATCACACATTCAAGCCCCCTGTGTTCATGTATCATTTCAATCTAAATTCTTCACTTTCTTCTTACACATTTCATTTTAATCTAAATTCTTCACTTTCTTCTTACACATTTCATTTTAATCTAAATTCTTCACTTTCTTCTTACACATTTCATTTTAATCTAAATTCTTCACTTTCTTCTTACACATTTCATTTTAATCTAAATTCTTCACTTTCTTCTTACACATTACATTTCAGCATAGCAGTTTAGTGTCAGCTTTTCAACATAAAGCATTCCCACAAGCAATTTCTTCAGGAATTGCATTCTCTAGTTTTGACTGATATTGCAGTTATGATTCACGACAGAGAGGATTAATCATTTTCATCATTATTCTCATCAATCAGTGTTTCCGCCAGACCAGGGCTGAGAGGGCGTCCACCCCGAGAACGGGGGGATGTTTTGAATTTTGACTTGAGCCGTCCCTTATAGATACTGTCTTTTTACGTTAGTTAGCCGGATCATTTGGCTCGGCTCTCTTAAATCAGATTAATCACATCTTAAAAATGTATTAATCATGATTAATCACCATTCGAACTATGTCCAAAATATGCCATTTCTTTATGTATATTGTTGTGGGAATGGAAAGATAAATGAAAGAAGGCGGATATATCCATTTAACATACAGTATGTATGTTTATTATAAAAAATGTCTGTGTCAAAATGAAAGACAGCTCACACACCTATCAATCATCAAACCGTGGGGTCTTAATTCATTACGTGTTGATTTCTATCAACGGGGGAGTACTTCAGGAAAGTAGAAGGGGGGGGGGCTAGTGGAGTACTTCGTGACCAAAGAGTGTGAACGTTGTGATCAGCTGTTTTAGCGCAGTTCTCCAGTGAAGGTTGGCGTAGTTTTTTGGCACAATTCCGTTGTACAGACTGACGTTAACAGCCGCCCTGTCTGTGCACACGGAGACCAACTCTGTCGTCCGGTGATCTAACCGCCTTCTGGAAAAGCTTCACCTGTACGTCGGTACGCAAATGCGCTTTGTGACACAAGTGCTGGTACGCATTTCAGATTACGCACATAACCTGCGTACCAGTTATGTGCACCCCTGTACTACAGCAAAAGTATTCTCCGTCAGGACTTCCTGCAACAACACCACGCCGTTATCTTGATTCTGATTCTGATTCTTAGACACCCTCTAAGGATAGAGGGTGTTGTTTTTCTCATACTGATATTCTGAACAATCTGTGCTGTTGTATTTGCTGTAAAGTGTCTCTACTGTAGGCTATTTTTATTATATGTACAGTACTTTGGCTCGACCAAAAATCGTTTATAAATGTGCTATATAAATAAAACTTGATTTGATTTGATTGGCCAGAAGACATCAAAGATGTTCTATTGAGAAGACGATCACTACGTGACAAAAGTTTTCAAAACCGTTTCTGGTCTTCGGTATTTCCAGACAAGTGGCTGCTGAAATCAATCTTACTAACTGCCCTCTGTGCAATTCTCGGTGCGAGTTGGCGGACTTTATTTTGCTTACTTTAACATCATTTTTCATGGTGGGGCTAAGCCATTTCTTGATATGGGTGTAGCCAGTGGCGGCCGGCCCCCCACCTCTTCCCACATACAAAAACAAATATTAAAGTAAAATAAAAAAAAATAAAAAAGAATATTTAAAATATATATATATTTTATATTTTTATTTTTAATGAACAAGGTAAATATCATACAATTGGTATCAGTAAAATGTATAATCCACAATAAAATCTCGTTTAAAATTGTGTTACGATGTCTAAAGTTACTGATAAGTCACATGTTTCCTGCCTGGCCTTGCCCATGGCATTAGTTTATCATTACCGGGCGGAGCCCCCGAGACAAACAGCAGCAACCAGCACGTTGCAAAAGTCTCAATAGTAAACTGTGCCGCCGAAACATAATTTCAGCCAATCAGCGGCGTCAAATATTTATTAATAAATTGTATTTATTTATTTCACGTTGGCGCCCACGTTGCTTACGTGCGTTGACGTGAGTTGTTTTTTAGACTCGTGAGTGACCAAGGTGACGCAGTATTTGGATGAGAATGGTGTGCAGGTGGAGTCGCCGGACCTCGGTCCGCACCCAATTCCGTGCAAGAGCTACTCTCCAATCCTTTCGAAAGGAGAAGTTTGGGAGATAAATTGATACTTAAAGACCTTGGACCGGACCAACCCGATTTGTATATATCACAGCAAGCTCGTGAAAAAGACAAAACGTATCAACGAGGCTTCTCACGGAGCTGGTACACCAGAAAGGCTATCTTTTGTTTCCCATGCTTGCTCTTCAAA